GATTTATACCCCACCCTTCATTACCCAAAGGAGTCTCAGAGCGGCTTACAATCTCCTTTCCCTTCCCCTCCTCACAACAGACACCCTGTGAGGTAGGTAGGTGGGGCTGAGGGAGCTCTTTCCAGAACTATTCTTTTTCAAGAACAGCCCTGACAGAACTATGGCTTGCCCAAGGTCATCCAGCAGGTGCAAGTGGAGGAGTGGGGAATCAAACCCGGTTCTCCCAGATTAGAGTCCATGCACTTAACCACTACACCAAACTGGAGGAGGAGGAGGAGGAGATTGGATTTATACCCCGCCCTTCACTAGCCAAAGGTGTCTCAGAGCGGCTTACAATCTCCTTTCCCTTCCCCTCCCTACAACAGACACCCTGTGAGGTAGGTGGGGCTGAGAGAGCTCTGACAGAAACTGCTCTTTTTCAAGGACAGCTCTTATCAGAACTACGGCTTGCCCAAGGTCACACCAGCAGCTGCATGTGGAGGAGTGGGGAATCAAACCTGGTTCTCCCAGATTAGAGTCTGCGCACTTCACCAGGACACCAAACTGGCTTTCAAGATCAGTTGTGATCCCAGGAGATCCCCCCCTGTCACCGTCACCCCCCGCTGCCCCGCCCCCCCGCCGTAGCAGGAACTCCTTTGCATATTAGGCGACACACCCCTAATGTAGCCAATACTCCAAGAGCTTACAGTAGCCCCTGTAAAAAGAGCTCTGTAAAGCTCTTGGAGGATTGGCTACATTAGGGGTGTGTCGCCTAATTTGCAAAGGAGTTCCTGCTACAAAAAGAGCCCCTGGCTTGTTTGATTGCCCTTCGTGTTAAGTCTAAATATCTCACTGGGGGGAAAAAGAAAAAGATGAGCTTTTATTTCTTTAGAATATGATACTGCAGCTTTCCAGTCTCATGACAAAAACAGAAGGGCTGAAATGGCAAAACATCGCTCGAGAGTCCGGGCAGAAGAACAGACAGTTTGTGTGTAGTGATTAAGTATGCACGGACTCTAATCTGGGAGAACCGGGTTTGATTCCCCACTTCTCCACTCGCACCTGGCTGGATGACCTTGGGCAAGCTATAGTTCTGGCACAGCTGTTCTTGAAGAAGAGCAGTTTCTGTCAGAGTTCTCTCAGCCCCACCTACCTCCCAGGGTGTCTGTTGTGGGGAGGGGAAGGAAAAGGAATTTGTAAGCCGCTCTGAGACACCTTTGGGTAGTGAAGGGCCATGGGGTATAAATCCAATCTCCTCCTCTTCTTCTTCTAAAGCTGAGCTGGGTTTGACAAAGGGGGCTTTTCACATGACCTACTCTAATCTGGGAGAACCGGGTTTGATTCCCCATTCCTCTACTTGCAGCTGCTGCATGACCTTGGGCAAGCCATAGTTCTGGCACAGTTGTTCTCTCAAGGACAGTCTCTCAGCCCCACCCACCTCACAGGGTGTCTGTTGTGGGGAGGGGAAGGGAAAGGAGTTTGTAAGCCGCTCTGAGACTCCGAGGGAAGGGCGGGGTATAAATCCAATCTCCTCCTCTTCTTCTTTTAAAGTAAAGGTAAAGGTTCCCTTGCTTGAAAGCCAGTCGAATCCGACTCTAGGGTTGCGGTTCTCATTTCCGTTTCAAAGCCTCCTCCTTCTAGACCCACACAATTCTGGGAGTGACGGGGGCATAAGGGGCAGGAAGGGAACGTGGGAGGGGTTGATTCTTTGGGCCGCAGCTGAGAGCTTTGCTCAGACAAATTAAGCAATATACTGAAAATACGATGATTTTTTAAAAAAAGAAGAAGTAAAAGAACAGCCGGAAGAAGCCTGGGACGTTATAACAGTTCTATTCTCACTTGGCGGGGAGGTGCAGGATATAAATTTAATAAATAAAAAATAATAATTTTTTTTAAAATGAAAGCTGGAAGGTTGAATACTTTTAGAGTCCAGCGGCACCTTTAAGACTGACAAAGGTTTATTCAAGGTAGGAGCTTTTGTGTGCGTGCACACGAAAGCTCATACCTTGAATAAACCTTTGTCGGTCTTAAAGGTGCCGCTGGACCAGGCCCGTAGCTCACGTGGGGCCCAAGGGGCCCGGCCCCCTTGCGGAGTGTGTGGGCCCCCTCCCCCGATCCTCTGCTCCCCCCTCCCCCCGGCAAAAAATGAGGAGAGGCTGGCAGCGGCAGCCGAGACAGCGTCAGGGGGCTTGAGGGGCCTGAAAGGGTTAAAAACTGGACTCTAAATTTGTTCTCCTGCTTCAGGCCAACATGGCTGATCATCGGGATCTAAGGTTGGATACTGCGCATGATAAGTCTGCATTTTGCTGGGCACGATTGGAGACTCAGGGGGGTTCAGTCTTCCGAGGTAGCCTGAATGGCACCTTATGTAGCCTCTTCTCTGGTTGCCAACCTCTACACAGGGCCTGGATATATCCCAGAATTACAACTAATCCCCAGACTATAGAGTTGAGTTGGGTTGCCAAAGCTCTGAGTTCGGGATGACCTGGAGATTTGGTGGATGGAACCTGGGGAGGGCAGGGGTGGGGGGAGG